ATGACATTAAGAGATAGATACAAGAAAGACATGATTAGAGGCTTTGAAGACCAAAACAACGAACTGGATAAAATATGGTTGTCCTCAAATGACAAATTAGTCCAGAAACTGTATAACTTTCTATTAAAGGATTTCCTACAAGATGAAAATGTTAAAACTGCAATGATCACTTGGATAAAAGATATAGGGGAAATTGATGAAGAACAGTGGTTGAGTATGTGGAAATCTGTTAAATATATGAGAGCGGTAGCTTACAAAGAGAATGTTTATAAAATGTTCCACAGATGGCACTGGGCACCCGACAAACTGGCCAAATGCTACAAGGGGTACTCAAACAAATGTTGGAAATGTAAAGTTTCTAAAGGAACCTTCTACCACATGTGGTGGGAGTGCAACAAAACACAAACATTTTGGAAACTAGTAAGGGAGGTGCTCCAAGAAAGTTTGGGTAAAAATTTGGCCCTAAAGCCAGAAATATATCTGTTAAATATGATTCCGAAAGGATATGATAAGCAGGATGCATTTATTATTACCTATGTTATAACTGCAGCTAGATTGTTAATAGCCCGACAATGGAAACTAGATGCTTTACCAACAAGGGAAGACCTGTTAAATAAAATATTAGAATTAGCCAGAATGGACGATTTAAGTCTAAAGATACAAAACAAAAATGAGACGGTACATAAAAAAAGATGGGACAGAATATATAAATGGATAGAAGACCAGATAGAACTGTAATATAAAAGTTATATTTAGAATAGGTAAAAGAAACAGAAATACAAGACCATCAACTGGTAATGTAAAAATTAAAGGAAAATGACTCTGACATGTAATGTAACACAAATGGATGTAAAATAACTGTGTACTACTTTTTTTATAAAATAATAAAACTTTAAACCAAAAAAAAAAAAAAAATAATTTTAATGAGTTGTTGCTGTTGTTAACATTGAACCATCTACCCGGGTTGCTGCATGACGGAGTGAGCTCCCGTCTCTAGTTCCAGCTCCTGCCAACCTAGCAGTTCAAAAGCAAGAAATTGCAAGTAGATAAATAGGTACCACTTCGTTGGGAAGGTAACAGCGTTCCGTGTGCCTGGGTGTTTAGTCATGCCGGCCACATGACCATGGAAACGTCTTCGGACAGCGCTGGCTCTTCGGCTTTGAAACGGAGATGAGCACCGCAACCCTAGAGTCGGACTCGACTGGGTTTCGAGCAAGGGAACCTTTACCTTTACCCTTAAACTCAAATACCATATATTGAAATAAAGAATTGGTTCACCTAAAATTCAAAAACATACTGACTATCCATGTGAAATTCTGTAAGTGCTTCAGTAAAGTTCAACAGATTTCTGATAATTCCTCATTGGAAGCTGGACTAATAACTTGTTTCATTTTAACAATCTAATTGTAAAGACTGTATTGATAGATTAGCATCCAATATAAATATAGAGTCTAGGATGTAACAAATTACCTGTGCCCTCAAACACATCACAAAATGGCTAGATGTAACAATTACTGGCTCTGAAGAAGAGGAGGAGGAGGAGATTGGATTTATACCCTGCCCTTCACTACCCGAAGGAGTCTCAAAGCAGTTTACAATCTCTTTTCCCTTCCCTCCCCACAACAGACACCCTGTGAGGTAGGTGGGGCTGAGACAACTTTCATGAGAACTGCCCTTGAGAGAACAGCTCTGAAAGAACTTGTGACTGACCCAAGGTCAGACCAGCAGCTGCATCGGGAGGAGTGGGGCATCAAACCCGGTTCTTCCAGATTAGAGTCCATGCTTCTAACCACAACACTAAACTGGCTCTCTGAAGTCAGAGCCTCTTTCAGAAACCTGCTGAAAAAATAACCCATCACTGAAGAAGATCCAGACGTGTATCAGATATTTATTTATTTGATTTATATACCGCCCTCCCCACAAGCAGGCTCAGGACGGTTTACATCACAACTTAATATAATATGGTTAAAACACTTTAAAACAACATTTTAATTAAGGCCAGGGTATGCATCCAATGACTTGAGAGCCTAATGTAGCTTAGTACAAAACCAAATAGAGCCAGTTCGGTGTAGTGGTTAAGTGCGCAGACTCTAATCTGGGAGAACCGGGTTTGACTCCCCACTCCTTCACTTGCACCTGGCTGGATTACCTTGGGCAAGCCGTAGTTCTGACAAGAGCTGTTCTCTCAAGGACAGCTCTGGAAAGAGCTCTCTCAGCCCCACCTACCTCACAGGGTGTCTGTTGTGGGGAGGGGAAGGGAAAGGAGTTTGTAAGCCGCTCTGAGACACCTTTGGGAAGTGAAGGGCGGGGTATAAATCCAATCTCTTCTTCTTCTTCTTCTCTTCCTTTACAGAAGAAAATGAAATCATTAGGTAATGGTGTATTGGAAGGGCAGGCGGGATGCTAGAATAACCAGTACGTGAAGGGAATGGCAGGCAAAGATTTTTATTGGACTCCACTTTTGGTTGACACATGGATTCACATGGTGAATTGAGCAATGGCCAAGGACAGAATCGGTGTGGGCTCCTCAATATATGCAGGCCTGATTGACATAAAAACTTTATAACTGTTATTTGGAGCTACACTATTCCGTTGATTCGTACACAACCTGCCTGGCCTGGAACAAATGTTTCATATTTATATTTTGTAGTGTGTGTTGTTATTGTTTAGACCACTGAAGACAGCCCTCTGGGCTGAAACACATTTGGCCTAGTGGTTATCATATGTGTAACCAATATAGTAGATTATGATAAGACGCGTGGCTTACATTTGTTATTGTACACGTAACTTACATTTGTTGCTGTATGCTATGTGGATGTAATGTGATACCCACTCCCTCTCTGTTTTTATGTACACTCTACATAAGTTTTTAATTTGTAGTTACTGTGCACTTAGTAATAAACAGATGTCTTTTGTTCTATGTTTTAGCTGTTCAACCTTCTAGGTTCCTGGAATGCTAGAATAACTAGTGCATGAAGGGAATGGCAGACAAAGATTGGACTAAGGGGCTTCTTAAAGGTATTTGAGAGAAAGAGAAATGATAAAGGTGAACAGTTTCCAGGAATCCATGTGTGAACCATGCACAGATTTATGCCACTGCACTGCTCTGTGATTACACAGGAAGATACCCTGCATATTTATTAGGTTATTGTGAGACCTCCTGCGGGTCACTTCCTAGTAAAGGACTCTCAACTTTAAGATGTAGACATTTTTATGGCTTATTAATCAACATGTCAGTAATCAGTAATGTTAAATGGCTTATTTTTCAGTTATGTAAACTGGCTTTTTTTGTTGAACTTTGATGTCGTTTGGCTGTTTAGTTAGAAAAGATGACTGACCCTCCAGATTAACGGATTCCGCTGAAACAGATGATTGGACTGTCCTCCTACAGAACAGTTAATCATAGCATTTTTACATTATTAAAGCTACAGCATGTTCAGCATGTGCTTTGAACTGTAGATGAACCTTTACCAAGTATCACAACAAGGGAAAAGGACAGGTCCATGCCATGAGGAACTTACAGTCTATATTTCAATAGTGGGGGAGGGCAGAGACTGTGGTAACAACAAATAATGTCAAGAAATATATATATATACTTAAATTTAATTGAGATTGGGGATTCTGGCTAACGGGTTAAGCCAAAATCTTCACAGAAAAGATAAGTTTGAAGGAAAAAAGAGGAGAAAAAACCATGTAGGAATTCAGAGAGAAAGTATAAGAGCGAAAGAGTATCAAGAGAGTTGTTTAAGAGAAGAGGAGGCTTTTTGGATGGTACAGTTAGATGTGGGAAGTTTGGTCACAGACAGGGATAGAACAGGAAATAAGGGCAGAGCCAGTGTGGGGTAATGAATGGACTGCTGGACTAGGACCACGTTGTAACCTTGAAACTCACAGGATGACCCTGGCCAGTCACTCTCTCTTATCATAATCTATTCCATAGGGCTGTCTTGAGGATAACTTACAGAAAGGGTGAGACAAAAATACACCAGATAGATAGGGTGAGGCAAGGTAAGTCTCTTTGTTGTTTTATTATCTACTGACCTGCTTCTCCACCCATAATTCCAGGACCAGGCTCACCAACATCTGTCTCTCCATCTGATACTTCCAATGGTGGGCTCCGTCTCTCTAGATCTTCTTCATCAGAACTGCGCTGGTGAGGAGAGGAAAATTGCACACACATGCGAGGCACGTAGGTAACCTGTAGGAGACAACAATAGTGTTGGAGATGAAGAATGTTAGAGAAGTGAAGACAGTGAGTGTATTGCCCACAAAAACAAAGGGACTTATGGGACTTTTGATTGATGGAATGATTACATTTGTATCCTAGTGTTCACCAGCATGCTCAGGATGTCTTAACAAAATCAAAACTGTAGGAAGAAATTTCTCTAAATCCATGCAAGATAAGAATAATGGTAAGAAACTTATGCTAATGCCATAATAAACAATAATTGTGAGGTAGCTTCTCTCTCTGCTACTGAGAATGGATGTTGAATGTCTACAGCAGAGATGGCTTATCCTTCTATTGTGGTAGTTGATGGGCGATTTCTCACTAGAGCTGCCTCGCAGCACAGCGCCGTTTGCCTCGACACAAACATGTCAATTTCACACCCGAAGCTCCGGGGCTGCATTTTGACTCGGAGATTCGCCCGATTTCCTCCGCAGTTTCGTGATCCTGGTTTTTGAGGATCATGAAACTGCAGAGGAAATCCGGCGAAGCCCCGAGTCAAATACAGCCCCGCAGCCTCGGGTGTGAAATTGACATGTTTGTGTCGAGGCAAACGGTGCTGTGCTGCGAGGCAGCTCTAGTGAGAAATCGCCCGATGTTTCTTATGCTAGAAACAGGGATGGTAACTGAAGGGCAGTCCTGCACAGATGTACAGAAGACATCTTGATAGCAGTTTAATATCCATTTAAATGAGATAACAGAATCACAGTCTTCGTATACAAAAAGTCAGTCATAACTCCTTGTTGTCCCCTTCGGAGAAAGGGGAACTTCCTTCAGGCTGTGCATAGCTATTTCCCCTCTCTCTGCCGCCATAAAACTGGCATGAAACCCCACTCTCATTGATTGTGCTGAAGGATAAAGAATGTAATATTTTGAATTAGAAGACACAAGAGGGAGACCCACGATACTCGCGGGGGGGGGGGAGAAGAGCTCCGTCTCCTCTCCCCCACCACTCGTTCTCCCCCAGGCGGCGCCGGTGAGGCCGGTACCCCCCCGCCCGGCTCCGAGGCGGAGAGGCCTGTCCTCCCCCCGCTTTGCCCTCGCTCGGCGGCGGTGGCAGCGGCCGGCGAGGCCTGTCCTCCCCCCCGCCCGCCTGCCCGCCGGCTACGAAGAGGCGGCGGCGGCAACGAAGCCGGTCCTCCCCGCCCGCCCTGCCTGCCTGCCTGCCGGAGAGGAGGCGGCGGCAGCGAGGCCAGTCTTCCCCCGCCTGCCCGCCTGCCCAGCTCCCAAAAGGCGGCGGCGGCGAGGCCGGTACTTCCCTGCCCTCGCCCGCGCATCTGCCTGCCCAGCCAGCCGGCCAGCTCCAAAGAGGAGGAGGAGGCGGCGGCGGTGGCGGCGAGGCCAGTCTTCGCCTGCCCGCCAGCCAGCCGGCCGGCCGGCCGGCTCCCAGAAGGCGGCGGCGGCGAGGCCGGTCCTTCCTCTCCCGCCCGCCCTGCCTGCCTGCCCGCCCGCCTGTCTCCCTTCCCCCGCACGCAAGCCCGGTAGGTCGCAGAGCGTCTCCTGCGCATGCGCAAGAGACGCTCTTGCACTTTCGGGGGGATTTAAACATCCCCCCCGAATTTTTTTCAACTTTTTTTATTTTTGTGCACATGTGGGGACTGGCCCACGTGTGCACAAACCTCCCCCGGCCCCCCAGCTGCCCCGGAGCGCTAATTTAGCGATCCGCACTCCGGGGGCAAGTTGGGAATTAGATATATAGATGTACTCGGAGCAGACAGTTAAAGGTGGGTAGCTAGGTCGGACTGCAATAGAAGAGCTAGATCCGAGTCCAGTACCACCTTAGAGACCAACAAGATTTTCATAGTATAAATGTTGGAGTGAGAAAGCTCCCTTCACCATATACAAGTAGGAACAACTCTGAGCAGAGTACACATCTTCAAGACTATTATTTTCCAGCTACGTTGCTGAAAGTTCTGTACAAGGACATCAGTTTTCCACCACATTTAAAAGCTGCTCTCATCTTTGCTAGTGTCTGCTAGGTTCTGTGGCAGCAAATCTGGATTCTGAAAGAGAAGAAATAGCACTTTGTCCTTGACATCCCACCAAGTGGGCTGGGCCTCGGACACCTGATGTTTTTCTGTTGGTGTGCAAGTTCTTCTGAAATGCCTCAATAAGGTATGTGCAATTGGGTTGCTTCAAGGCTACAGAGACAGGCGGTTAGTGACTCGGCAGATTGACTGGAGATGAGTATGGTAGGAAGAGCTAGGATTGGGTAACAGCGTGTGCACATTTCCTGCCAAATCCTCAAGTGTAAAACTACTGACCTCAACCATGGAGTCACACTGAGCACTTTACAGTTAAACAGAACTGCAGCCTAAGTGATAGGGGAAATGGGGGAGATGGAAACCTACGGGTCAGTGAAAAATGGAGAGACAGTTTCCATCAAAAATGGTAATGAATTGGGGGCTTCCTCTTCATGTGAATTGTGAAGAATGTCATGAGAAGCTACAAGAAATTAAGCTTACCAGAATTTCTCATGGGTGTTCTGTACATCCCAAGGTGAACACCACATTTTGTCTGAAGTGAAATTCATTGCACATTTAGTGGTTCTTCCTCAGGCAGCCTGAGGTATTTTGAGAGAAACCTATGTAACTTTATTGATACTAGTAAAAAAATTTCAGCAGAGTTTTGTACATTCTTAGTAATGTCTATTGTGAGGAGAGGAACAGTTAGAAAGGCAGGGTAGGAGTGGTGACTCTCAGAATAGAAAATGGTAGGAATATGCAAAGCACATTTACAAGTGCTGAGATGGTGTCAGGGGCGTCCACCAACAGAAAGAGAAAATGAGAGTTCGCAGGGGGAAAAATCTTGCTCAGCCTTATTTGTATCATCTTGTCTCCTCTCTCCATTCTCAATGGATGAGTTTCTCTTCTTTCCTCTTTCTGTTTTGCTGGTCAGAAATTGTTTTTCCATTTTGGCTGTTTTTTCTTTTTGTAAGTGATTGCACCAGTGCATGAAATTCAGTGTATGCAATGTGACAATGTCCTGAAGATATTACAAAATAAGTCACAATGTTCTGACCACGGCATCTATTGGGACAGATAATTAATGAAATGATGCATAGGGATAACATTTCAAAGCTGCACTGGATTTTATACATTCTACTTTTTCCTTAGGCTTAGTGGGCCCTGCCACCTCAATTGCGAGGAATGCCAAGAGAAGCTAAAACAGCTTAATTAAATTTACCTGGATTTCTCATTGGTATTCTGTATATACCAAGATGAACACCACATCTTCCTTTTTTTTGCTTCTCATGGAGTAGGCTACATCTCACACCATCCTGGTCATGGTCAAATGCAGGTAGTGGTGCTGTCAGGGCCAACTTTGGGGCAAGGCCCAAGCTCACAGGGTCAGCAGCCCCACCCCCGCAAGGTCTACTTGGCAATCCCTATGGAGCTCAGTGAGATTTATTTTTGAGTAAATGTGCACAGAATCTAGTTACACCACATGTGTTTATCTGAGGGATGGTGGGATCAGATGAAATAAACATGTTGTATGCTTGCTTTGTGCTTCACATTTGAAGTATACATTAACATATAAAGATAAAGCTATTAAGTCCAGAGTCTATAATTAATATAATTACCTAAATGCACCACTGAATGCAGAAATGTTGTGGCAAACAATGTGATCCGCTTCCATGCAAATGTCACCCAACCAGGGGGCAGGACAACATTCACATGGGGAACACTGGCCCTCAAATAACCAGCCATTTTCCCCCTTCTAGTAACATCAAGTGAGAACTCAACTAGAAGAGCAGAAATCACTTTCCAAGGTATGTTGGATTAAAGATATTGTGGGTTTCAAATCTGTACTGAGTAGCAAAATAACATGAATGTTCAAAATGTGTCACTTTTTCTTATAGTGTCTTGTGACATGTGCAGTGTATTCACCCTCCCTTAATAATTGCTGATCTGGATCCATGATCAAGTCCCTGGGACAATGAAAATGCATTTCTTTAAAGAGCAAAGGAGAGTGCAGAGAAGGTCAGTAGGCTGCCCTGAGGCACAAAAGAATCATGTGACTGCTTACATGTGAAGCAAGAATGCTCTCACATCATTTACAATGTTTATACAAAAATCCATAAGAAGACACACGCTGGATTAGATGGACAGTTAGTTCATCTAGTTCAGCATCCTGTTTCCTGAAGTGGTTGATCAGGTACTCTGAAAAGCTCACAACAAGGACACAGAGGCCCAAGACTTCAGCCAGCACGGCTAAAAGGCATTGCTGATTCCTCTCCATCAATCTGTCTAATCTTTTTAAAGCTATCAAAGCTAGCTTTGATATCAAAGCTGATCCAGAAACTCCAGTTGTGACAACACACCTGCTGACTGCAACGTCCATGCGGGTGCGCATCTAGCCAGCCAGTGCTCCGCCAATTGCACTGGCTATCAATCGAGTACCGGATCTGCTTCAAGGTGCTGGTGTTGACCTTTAAAGCCTTATGCGGCCTGGGACCAGAGGTCATTTCAGGGGGGGATCGCAGTCCCCCCTTGTGAGGTATGGGGGCGGGGCACATGACGAAGCTCCGCCCCCTGCTTCCGGCCGCCCGCTTCCGGCCCTCATTCAGCCAGGAGGAGGCAGGAGAAGAGGGAGGGTAAGTTGCTTCCTCCCTGCCTCTCCTCACCCCTGCCTGCCTGGGGCCAGGGAGGGCTTTCGCGGGGCTTCCTTGCACTCCTGCCGGCCTTGCAGGTCCACCACCGGGCCCCTCATGGGGCTCAGCAGTGGAGCTGCAAGGCAGGCAGCGGCCGGGACCGTTGGGGGTGGGGTGTGTGGCTTTATGACACACTTCCTGTGATGTCAGGGGGTGTGGCATATGCTAATGGGTTATGCTAATGAGTTCCCCTAGCTCTTTTTCTACGAAATGACCCCTGCCTGGGACTGACATATTTATGGGACCGCCTCGCCCCCCATATGTGCCCCGAAGAGCCTTGTGCTCTGCAGAGAGTCATCTGCTGGCTGTCCCCGGCCCAAAAGACGCCCGCCTAGCCTCAACCAGGGCCAGGGCTTTTCTGGTGGAACATGCTTCCGACTGAGATTAGGGCCGTGTGGGACCCATTACAGTCCAGCAGGGCCTGCGAAATGGAGCTGTTCTGCCAGGCCTTCGGCTGAGGCAGCAGGCGTCTACCAGCTGGCCTCCCTAATGGTTGCTGTGTAAGATCATTATGCCTCGGCCCTGGACCATTCGCTCTGGCTGTAGGAATTGGAACTAATATCCTGCACTGCCCACTTTAAATGTTTAGGTTAGTTTTATTGTACTGTTTTAAAATATTGTTATTTACTAATTTTTGATCTATTTAAGATTGTATTGTGTTTGTGTTGTGAGCCGCCCTGTATTGTGTTTGTGTTGTGAGCCGCCCTGAGCCTGCTCACGGTAAGGGCGGGATATAAATCAAAATAATAAATAAATAATAAATAGTGGTCATCATCGCATCTTGTGGCAGTGTGTTCTACAGTGTAATTACTCATGGAGTGAAAAATTACTTCGTTTTGCATCCTGAATCTACTGCCCATCATTGTATTCACATGTCCCTCAGTTCTAGTGTTATGGGGGGGGGGGAGTTTTCCTACCACTTTCTCCAAGTCTTCCATACTTTTATAACCTTTTATCATGTATCCCCTCTAGTTTTCTTTCTAAATTGAATAGCTGTAAACACTTTAGGCTTTCCTTGTAGGGAAAAAAGGGAAAGTGTTCCAGCCCCTTGATTCAAACTCAACTGGACCCACATAGACTCCAGTTCTCAATTGTGGTTTTAGGTAATAGTCAGCTAAGTGCACTTCATTTTAATTCATTGTTACTGTTGCCTCTCCAGCTCCTTCCCCTCTCATTGTTCGCTTCCTCTGCCAAATGTTAGATTGCAATAGGGTTGCCAGGTCCCTCCCTCCTGGCAACTAATGGGGGATGTGGGAACTTTCCTGGAGAAAGAGAAGGGCCCAGGCCTTGTTGCTGGCATTGCACAGGAACTGATGTCATCTCAGCAGTGATGACCAGGCAATGCTCTGTTATTTGGACAAAAACTCTATGGTAAACCTGGCTTCTACCATAGAGTTTTTGCTTGAATACCCAAACATTGCCTGAACATAGCTGGTGTGACTATGTCACTTCCTGTAAGACTAGGGTTGCCAAGTCCTACTCACAAAATAGTGGGGGGGAATCCATGACGTCCCCAGGAGTCCTCCTGCGCACACGTGAAGCATGCATGCCGTGATGGCATTACCCGGAAGTGACATCATCGCGTTGGGCACATTGGGGGCGGGGCCACAATCATTTGAGGGAAAACCATAGAGTTTTCCCTCAAATGATAGAGCGCCCCCCTGTGATGAGGTCACCTCCGGGTGATGTGTTCACGCCGGGCACGTTGCGCGCTTTGGGGGTGGGGTCCCTCCGGTGGCCCAATCCAGGCCAGCGGGGAACGGGCCTCTCGGGCGGGGGTTTCCCCACCCCCCAGGGGGACTTGGTAACCCTATGTAAGACACCAGCAGTGAGGTCTGGGCCTTTCTCTTTCTCCAGGCAAATCCCCTCACCAGCCAGCTGATTGGAAGCTGGGGGCAGAGCCTGTCAGCAGGGAACTTCCACTTCCACCGGGGGGGGGGTCTGGCATGCTGGGAAATTACTCCAGCATCTTCATGTAATTTAGCAGCATATATCTGGCTGCAGGCACAGCACAAGCCATGTGGGTAGCTGAGGCTGCATATGTGTGCAAGTATGAAAATAAAAGATACATGGAGACTTCTTCAGATTCAAACTAATAAGGAGCTTTATTATTAGAGCATACGTAATCTAACTATCTGGATGTCCTGAGATGCAAGAAGTGTGTCCTGCTCTCGTGCCAAGATAGAGAGTCGTGGAGACTTCTTCGAGAGAGAGAGAGAGAGAGGGAGAGAGAGAGGGAGAGAGAGAGGTGTCAAGCTGGAAGAAGGAACTTCCCTAAGAGTAGCAATCTACACTTCAAAAGGATAGTAGTAGAGAAGAAAGGAAGGATGCTCTGTGTCCTATGCCTGTCTTTTTTCCTCTCTGACTCATTGGTAGCCCTGTCTGAAGACTGAGGCTAAGAGACCGTGCAAAGGCCTCCAGTTCCAACATGGCAGCCCTAGACTCCATGGGTGGAGACAGGGGTCGTTTTGTAGAAAAAGAGCTAGGGGAACTCATTAGCATAACTCATTAGCATATGCCACACACCCTGACATCAGGGGCCCAGTGGTAGACCTGCAAGGCCGGAGGGAGTGCGAGGAAGCCCCGCCAAGGCCCTCCCTGGCCCCAGGCAGGCAGGGGTGGGGAGAGGCGGGGGGGGAGCAACTTACCCTCCCTCTTCTCCTGCCTCCTCCTGGCTGAATGAGGGCTGGAAGCGGGGCGGCCAGAAGCAAGGGGCGGGGCTTCATCATGTGCCCCACACCCTCACACCTCACCCGGGGGAACTGCGATCCCCAGTGATCCCCCCGAAATGACCTCTGGGTGGAGAAAGGGATTTTTATTTATGTTGTAGAGCATCGTCTGTATTAGTAGCAATGAATAAATTAAGTTTATCACACCTACCCATCCATAGTAGTATCCCAGGTTGCTTCCAGACAAGGCATGAAAGATGTTCCCCCCAAAAAATGTCAGGGTGGGAAAGGCATCCACATCACCCACTTGAGACCATCACCTCTACTCCCCACTTCTCCCTAATTGCCTGCATTGTGCTTGCGCAGATAGGACAGCAATTATCCCTCAAGGGCCCAGAAACCTCCTCTTTTACTCTCCCTTTCCCTGCTGATCTGTGCTGTGATGCTTCAGTGCAGATCAGCAAATAAATGGAATAAAGCCCTTTATTTATTTATTTTTGAGGCTGTTCTATTTTTATTTTATAACATACTTTACAAAAGGAACAGAGCATGATTCACTCAAAAGGGTGAATTAAAAAAAATAGGACAAACGAAAAAGAGATTAGCAAAACGAACAAGAACCTAAATGAAATCTACCGTACCCTAAATACAATCTTCTATGTAATAAAATTAGAATTAACCAGATGTTTGAATAGGAGCTATCACACCAGCCCAAGTGGTTTCAAATGGTTGTGAACATTGTCCCTTCAGTAAAAGAGTACGTTTCATCATGGTGTAAAGTAGCCTTGATTTTGCCAACCCATTCATGAGCTTTAGAGACTGAATTTGATTTCCAGTATCTTGTGTAAACTAGTCTAGCCACTGTGATTAAACTTAAAAGAATAGACTAAAGCTGTTTTGGAAACACAGCCGCATAATTAAGCTAAAGTAATTCTGGAATCATAGGAATTTCTCTACCAAGGCTGATACTGGTCAATTCAATAATCCTCATCCGATAATTTTTTGCTCAAGATCACCACCACCACATAATGCATAAAGTCAGTTGCTGGAGCCTTACAAAACCAACAGACACCTGAACATTAGTTGTCGTTCTTTGCTATGATATTTGGGGTGAGATAAAGCTGATGGGCCATCTGAACAAGGTTTTCCTTAAAAGGAAGAAATAAGGTGAAAGAGGACCTAAAAGAAAACACAAAGCTCCAAACCCTCTCACCAAGCTCTTTGCCAAGATCCTTATTCCACCTAGGCTGAAAAGAAGTAGGTTTTCATTAAGTAACGTGTGTGACTGTTACACAGCCTTGACAAACAGAGTTTAGCACTGCCTCCTCCCTATGATGGCTATGCGTGGAATGTCCAGACAAATGCTCTGTCTTCAATTACCCAACAGTTCCCCCTTTAAACCAGAGGGGAAAAAGGTTTCTTTGTATTCATATTAAAAGGGAAAGCCCTGAGAATGCCATCTGCCATGCTCAGAATCGGCACAGTGTTATGTTGCCCTTCAATCTGGGGGCTTTCTGTATTCCATGCAGGGAAAAATCCCCACATGGAAGCAGTCCCAGACCATTTTAGCACCGCCCTGATTACTTCCTTACATGTAAATAGTAATACAGTTTAAGCTTTCTGTCCTACATTCAGTGGAACAATTTTGCTCTCTTCTTCCTCCTCAGTTCACTCCCTCCAACCTAAGTGGCTATTAACCCTTGAAGACTCTGCAGCCACGGGAGTCAGCTTTCCGGGGGTCAGGAGGGATTGCTGGGGTGAGGGAAATGTGGCAAAGCTTAGTGTCCCTTGCAGAGACAGTCTCAGGGTCAGCTGTGACTGAGGGCGATTTTGCACTAGAGCTGCCTCGCGGCGCAGCTGCCCTTTGCCCCGACACAAACATGTCAATTTCATACCCGAAGCTGCAGGGCTGCATTTTGACTCGCGGCTTCGCCCGATTTCCTCCGCAGTTTCGTGATCCTGGTTTTTGAGGATCACGAAACTGCGGAGGAAATCAGGCAAAGCCGCGGGTCAAATGCAGCCCCGCAGCCTCTGGTGTGAAATGGACAAATAGTGTCGGGGCAAACGGTGGCTGCGCCGCGAGGCAGCTCTAGTGCGAAATCGCCCTGAATCTGATTAGGCAGCTTCCTTCAGCAAGAAGGTAAGGTTTCCAGGCCTGTGGGGGGCAGTAGGTTCAGGGGCAAACAGGTCATTCCTGATGAGTATTCAGTAGGGCCTGAAGTGGGAGGTGTAATTGAGGGAACACACATTTTTAGTGTTCATCCAAGCATCTCCTTTTTTACCACATTACCACTTCCTGGGACCTCTTTGTCATAGTTTTTGTCATACTAAACCTGGTGTTTAAAAAACCCACTAGGCAGAATTATGATAGAGCTGGGTGCTGGCCATACCTGGTGATTGAGACCAATATGTGTGGCAGGAATCCCAGAGTCTAGGACATGCATCTGTTCAATTTCCATATGCCGGTAGAGCTGCTGCAGCTGAGGTGCCTGTACACTTTGGAGCTCTGCAAAGTGGTTGTCCCCAAAGCTCTCAAACTCGGGGTGCAGGTGGTGTGGGTGATATTCCCAGTAGTGCTCTGATGGACATAAAAGCAATTCACCTGTTAATACAGAACAGGGGGGGGGAATCAATCCTTTCTTTTCACAAAATATTGAGAGGTTTGTTGTATTTGGATTTGGATACATTCCCTGGGGACCAGGTTTCCACTGGAAATTACAATCATTTTAGCATGGACTCTAATGTCTGGGGTACAATTGGGTGTTCTGAGAATCTCAACTTTCATTATGGAAAAGAAACGGTGTAGGCTTTTAGGCCTGATGGTTCATGGCAAGAAGTCGTACAAAACAGCTGATTATGCAGTCATTTTATTATTGGTTTAGGGAATCCCACAGTTTTGGTGCCACAACTCATTTCTCATTTTGCCACCCATATAGGCTCAGATGACAGGGGAACCTGGTTCAGTAGGTTCCTATGGGAGTAGGTGGTCTTAAGATATGCTGGTCTTGAGACGTATATGGCTTTAAAAATTTACAGCACCTTGAATCAGACTTGAAAGTAACAAGATTGGGGTAATATGGTTCTCTGTGGCTCACTTCAGTCAACATCTTAGCTGCAGCATTCTGTGCCATTGTACTTTCTGGTCACTCTTCAAGGATGTCACCACATAGAGTGCATTGCAGTAACCTAATCTAGATGTTTCCAGGGCATGATGTTTTGGGTTTTTTTACACTGGAAAGGCTGCAGCTGGGTCACCAGCCAAAGCTAATAAAGATGCTTCTGGCCACTGCTGCCACCCATATATCCAACAGGAGGCCTGGGTCTAGCAAACTGTGAACTGCTCATTTAGGGGAAGTGCAACCCCATCCCAAACAAGGGACTCCTCAACACCCAGGTTAATCCTTCTGTGCATCAATAACACCCCTGTTTCATTAGGATTAAGCTTCAGTTTGTTAACCTTCACCCCCTCCTGGAAACTGTTTCCATTGCTTCCCTAGGATCCACTGGAAATGTGGGATAGAGTTTGGTGGCAACCCACCTCAGATCTCCAGATGACCTCATCCAGTGGCTTCGTGCAGATGTTAAGAAGCATGGGAGACAAGATGGAGCCTTGTGGAATCCAACAGGCAAAGGTCAAGGGTCCATGCGGCTGTCCCCCAGCATTGCCCTCTGAACTTACCTTCCAGATAGGAGTGAAACCACCTACCTGCCATAGCAATTGTAAAAGTTATTTCCCTATAGCACCCCGCATGTCAACTAACTTGCCATGGGAGAGGCATATTATCTAAGCACCTTTAAACACTTCCATACAATGATAGCTTTTAAACACAATAGCAGCTAGGCCAGCTAAAGTTCTGTAATATCACACCATCAGTGTCCAGTTGGCCAGCTCTAGGAATAAAAGTTGTGAATGCAAGACCTCTTGACCATTTCATTTCTACAGCACTTTAAAGTCAATCCTCTGGATAAGAAATACAGTAATTCTCAGTGCTTGACATTCCTGATGGTGATGCCAATATGCACACAGAAGCAATGAGTACAGTATCATGTGTGCCAGATCTTTAACTGTGGAATTACCCACAAAATGTAATAACTTCCTCTGCTGAGATGAATAGTTCATTTCATAACTTGTAATATTAACAGCATAGGATGAAGTAAAGGAACTTGTGATCGTGTATTAGTTAGGTACCAGCTAGCCAGTCTAGTACTGTGTGTACTGAATCCCTCAGTGTTTAATTATTCTGGGGTTTGCCAGGCTTTCAAGTTTGCAAAAATATAAACCGCAAGGGTAGACCATCAAAAAATACAAAACTTTCACAAGTAAACCGTAGACATCCGTCTACTGCAATACAATAACAATAAATTGAAGATACAATAGAATTGGTGGTCACAGTTCAACAACACTATTTGCAAATTCAAACTACAATTTGATGACAGTGGAAAATATCCAACAAGAGACTCCTCTGTATCCTTTGAATATAATAGTGTCCAAAGTGTCCAAAGGACCTCAAAGTCCACAAAAAAGACAGAGGATGTCCTAGAGCACAAATAAACTTCTAACAGCCGAAAACGTCCTTTCCAGGTATGCCAGATGTTTCAAAGCAATCTTCTTCAGTTGTATGGCTGAAAATGGAACCCAATTTCCATAGTAATGTAGGCACAGCTCATATCTCAAATCTTTTGATGGTCTACCCTTGCGGTTTATATTTCTGCATACTACATATGCGTGGGGTCCCTATTGTTTGGCTAGGCTTTCAAGTTTGGCTTTCTCATTAGAAGGTGGTGACTACTTTGTCTACTGCTTGGGATTTCCTTCATCTTAGTTACAGACTGTTCTCAAATAGAACAGTACATTTTACATTTTCTTACAATACTACAGGAGTTCCATGTTCAAATTAAAAATAAAGTTTTGAATAGGAAAAATGTGTGTATATGTGTGTGTGTGTACATATACTTCTCAAACGTAATCTGTTAAAAGGACGTGAAATAACTGAGAGCTGGCTGTCTTTCTAGGTGAGTTAGTGCTGTGTTAAAGCAATCACATCTGGCCATCATTGTGTGTCAAATTTATGGCCAAACACAACCCACAACGTCAACATGAGAATGTGATTGCATAGACTAACATGGTACAGATTGTAGCTCAGTGGTAGACTGTGGCTTATTATGCAGAATGATCCAGGCCCAGAGCCAGGCCCTGGCATCTTTAGTTAAAGGATTTCAGGCAGCAGGTGTTCAGAAGACCTTTTGCCACTTATGGCCCTGGAGGCAAGCTGTAGGTTACGCTGACATTGCTGAGCTTGATAATCTATGGCCTGATTCAGTATAAGGCAATTTCATATAGTTCTGCAATTTAAAACTGAAAACTTTCTTGGTAGTGAAATATATAGAAACTTGATTGAATAAACAGCATAGCAGAAGATGTATTGTAATTATTTATTACTACAGATATATTTATAAACTACAAAACTACAGCCATGTTTATAAGAACATATGAATAAATGAAAGTGCCTCATACTGACTGCTGCTCTGTTTTGCACAGTTCTGCCTACTGCAACTGGCAGCAACTGTCTAGCATCTGAAGCAAAGACCTTTTGCAGCCCTGCTACTTAACATCCTATAGCCAGATACCAGGGATTGAACCAGGTCCTTTATTCATGCATGGAAGGAGGATAGGCTGAAGCTAGGGTTCCCAAGTACTTACCATGATTCAGCGGGGGGCACAGGAATGATCCTGCGAGGACAACAGATGCGCCGCACCATGCCATCACCAAAGAGTGACGCCGGGCAACGCTCTGGCAATGGGGCTGGAAACTCGATGGTACCATCGAGTTTCCAGCCCCATTGCCAGAGCGTTGCCCGGCGTCACTCTTTGGTGATGGCATGGTGCGGCGCATCTGTTGTCCTCGCAGGATCATTCCTGTGCCCCCCGCTGAATCATGGTAAGTACTTGGGAAGCCTGGCTGAAGCCCTTTCTCCACTAGGGATGCCAGCCTCCAGGTGGGACCTGGGGATCCCCCAGAATTACAGCTTACCTCCAGACTACAGAGATCAGGTCCCCTGGAGCAAATGGATGCTTTGGAGGGTGGACTCTATGCCATTGTACCCCACTGAGGTCCCTGTTCTCCCCAGGCTCCATCCTGAAATCTCCAGGAGTTTCCCAACCTGAGTCTGGCAACCATATTCTCCACGCTTGCTACAGTGGATACTGCATGCAGGGACATTGAGTAGAACCTGCAACTTATGGGTGGCTGTTACATAGGACACAGGGTGGAGACCCCTCGCCCAAACTGTTTTCTGTTACGTGTGAATCGGAAAAAGGCACTTTGCCCAAATCAGATATCAGTAGGTATTGGGTGGCTTTTAAATAACTGGAGTCATTCTGAGAAATGTAATGTGAAGTGAAAGAGGATGTGAGAAAATACTTTGTTGCAGAGACCTGGAGAGTGTTTGTCTTTTATGTAGTGAAAGGTTAAAGGAAGGGTAAGGCTCACTTCCCTCTCCTTACTCACAGAGGGGATATTCATAGGTTGGGGATGGAGAACCACTTCTGCTATCCCTTCCTAATGTATAGGATATAATTCCTCCTATGAGACAATTTTTATATTTTTCCTACCTTTGATTCCCTATTTAGCTAAATTTAGAGAGACATTGATTTTTCTGCCTAAACATCATCCGTACCAGAATAACTGCATTTTAGTGGAGCCATCTGAAATCAAAACATGATTTTTTGGGGGGAAATTTTGTCATATGCAACTGTGACACCCTTGTCCCTACCGCCCTCCACACCCTCTGTCCCACAGCTTCAGGATTACAGGTAGCTCACCACCTGTCTTGCCTCTTTTAAAACATAGAAAGCCATGACCAGTTCACATCCCAGGTCCTCTCTCTCACTCTCACAGAAACATCACCAGACGGGGTAGCCCAGTCCCTTTTAATAATCACCCCTCACTCGGACACAGCACAGGGCTATTGGGCCTGGGGACTCAAAGACTGCTTCATCACATGCGGACACCATTTATTCATATCCTAATATAGATATTTATATATAGGCTGAGATCTTAGTTTGTGTGCATGCGTGCGTGCGTGCATGCGTGCATGCATGAGCTTCTTCCCTGAGATCATAAATGCCCAGCTCACAAAGTTAAACAGAGAAGGAGTTAATTTTGCCTTGTGACCTAGAGATAGTGATGTGGAAACCTTCTGGCCTTGAAAGAGCTGGCTGAACCCCAGTGCTGCAGAACTGCTGTAAAATTGCCTGAAACACTCTGCCATAAAGCACAACAATATAATTCCACCCTCCATATGTTCGTAAGTCCTTCACTCTAATATTCCCAGAGGGTTTATATTTCACTTACCACCATGACTGTCTGCATCACTGTTGAGATACTGGTAACTGTCATGGGACTGTCTGTAGAGGTCTGAGTCATAGGGTATCAGATCTTCAGAGGGCTGCAGAGAGGAGAAACTGTTAGAAGCTGCCTTGCACTGAATCAGACCATTGGTCTGTCAAGGTTAGTATTGGCTACTCTGACTGGCTGCAGCTCTCTACGGCAGAGGCCTTTCACATCATCTCCTGCTTAATCCTTTTAACTGGAGGCGCCAGGGAAATCAGATTTTCTGCCCCTGTGCCACAGCTCCTATCCAAAGCCTTCAAGCTCACTTGTTTTAGTACTATGTAAATAAGTATTTAACATGAATTTACAAAGCAGGACTGAAGGAGAGATTCTGAGCGGCAAGAAAGTTCCTTTTAGTGGTGGTCTAGCCATGGCACACCAGCATCTATTAGAGAATCTCACACAGGGTTAGCTCATGCTGTGGGATTGCAGTGAGGAAGCAGAAGGTAGATCTTCATTAGAAGGATACACTAACTTAAAACATCAGTTTAGGGGAGTAACAGACTCTAAGACAGAAAAGTCCCACTTCCAATCTCCTTTTCTCAGCTCAGCTCAGCTCAGCAGGTAGATCTTCATTAGAAGTATACACTAACTTAAAACATCTGTTTAGGGGAGTAACAGACTCTAAGCCAGAAAACGAGCTTGGTGCAAAAGTGGGATCTGAAAGTACACTAACCTATTAATAAAGGCTGGATCATAGATAGAAAGCAGAATCCTGTGGCCAAAGGGCTCCTAACCATCCAGTAATCCAGGGGTTTTCGTGAATGCAGACTATCTGCTATCATTTTGAGTCTCCTGGCAACTCTCTCTGTTCCCCAAAAAGCAACTCCTGGGGACTGGGGGGCTCTCAGGAAGAGCATGTGCTGAGAAAAGGAGATTGGAAGTGGGACGTGTAGATCAGTGAAGATTGCCCTCCTTTGTGGGAGAGGAAGTACCTTTCTGCTAACCAACTAGCCACTTATATGAAATTAGGAATGGATGACTATTATGACTCCACAATATCAATTAAAATTAAACTATTAGCTAAAAATTAGAAACAAAATAATGAAATACAAATCATTTCTGGATAATTCCTTGACTGATTCGGAATATTATATATTAATGACTTTTTATATTGAGTTGGAGAAGGATTTTTAAACAGTTTAAACAATTGTATATTAAATTATGAAAATTCAGCATATAGACACTAATCAGACATACATCTTAGTTTATTTTTTCTCCCATCAATATATTATGTTCCTATCATCTATTCACTAGATTTTTACCCTGTCCTTCCTCCAAGGAGTTCAGAGCAGCATACATGCCCTCTCCCCATTTTATCCTCATAATAAGCCCATGAGATAGGTTAGGACAAGAGCGTGACGAATCCAAGGTCACCCAGAGAGTTTCATGGCAGAATGGTGGTTTGAACTTGCTATGTCCCAACCTAGTCTGTTCATCTAACCACTTAACAACATTGATTGTCACTGTATGTGAGGTTATGTAATTGGAATTTTATGTACCACGTATTATTTGAAACAACAATAAAATATATAAATATATGAGGAATAATTAGGTTGCCAGCCTCCAGGTGGGGCATAGGGAATCCCCTGGAATTACAGTTCATCTCCAGACTACAGAAATCAGTTTCCTTGGCGAAAATAGATGCTGTGGGACTCTATGGCCTTGCACCCCACTGAGGTTCCTGTCCTCCTCAAGTTCCATCCCCAAATATCCAGGAGTTTCTCAGCCTGGATCTGGCAACCCTACTGGGTCCCCCATCCCCCACCAGTGTCCAAGGGGGACCTGGCAACCCTGGGAATAATAACTTTAACAGTTGACAAACTGTTGGGCCTTAACCCTTCCAATCAATGAACCTTGAGTAATATTGAATCCCTTTACATGGTCATTTCTTCTCAAGTATTTGGAAATTTAGTTGCCCAGCTATAATGTACCATGGAAAAAAGGAAGCAAAGGTAAGAACAGTGGCTCACTCACTCAACATTTGCCAGGTCTCAGAACAAACAATATGTTTGCAAATTCTTCATATGGGCGAAGAGGGGTGGGTCAGTCCTACACTGCTTTTTTTTTGCCCATTTTTGTGATAGCCCAGTGTTTTTCCTTTCCATATAGAAGGAAAGCAAAGGTTGCATGCAGATGTTCATGTATCAGTCTTGTGTGTGAGCACCGAGAAGGAATTTCATTTTTTAAAGTAAGCCTCTGGCTTCTTTCATTGCAGAGATAGAAGGGAAAAGGTGCATTTTGGGCATGAAAAGGGCTAGACTTGCTTTTTTAAAAAAATATGAAAGATGGGAATTCAGAGGACCTAATAGATAGATTGTTATAAAGTTATAATGTTATAGAAATCTAGCTATTGCTGATTTTATAAAACCCAAACTCCACAGTGGTGTGGGGAAGGAAATGGAGGCTCTGAAAGAACGCAGCAGGGAAAATGGTGCCAACGTGGGTGGCACTTTTGAAGCTCAGCATACCCTGCACACAGAAGGCTAACGTGCTTTGGCTGCATATGGGGTGGAGACATTGGATCAACAGTGATAGCATGGAGGAAGCACAGAGAAACCATGGAATGTCAACAGATGGGCAAACATGCTGTGTGGAAGCTTAGAAATAATCCACCGCAATTGGGAGCCCAAACCAGCACAAAAAGTGAGCGTGGAAGTCATTTTACGTAAAAAAAGAAGCAGCAGCAGATATGAATTCAGAGAAATTAAGAGATCATGGCAATAGATCATATCACTGTAGCGATACATCAATTTCCATTTTTAAAAAAAGTCTGAAAAAGTTCTCTGGTGCTAGTGGGGAAATGGCAGCCTCAGGAGACTGAGGCAAGGAAAGTGGGGGAGACATGGCTACGTGGACGCTCCGCTGCTGCTGCTGCAGCAAATGCTTCTGCATTCGTAGCGGTGGTGAAAGCTACACAGAGTGCTGAGGTGCTCTACATATTGTCATTAGCAGTATTCAAAGGTTGACATAATGGGATTCCTTAGACTGAACGAGTTTATATTTATTGAATGATTATAGGCAGATTCAGGATCTGGATCATGGGATAGTTCAGGTCAATGGGATACTCAATTTAATGGAAGGCCAGATCAGGCTAAAGTAATATTACTGTTGGCAGATAAACACAAACTTGTTACATTTAGAATGGTGAGGTTTATTGCCTTTGTCATGAAGACAAAGGCCAAAAAAAAGGTCACAAATATACTTGATTATTAGATTAATTGTACCACTATGTGTCATTTGATATATGAGTTATATTTAGTATTCAATATTTGTTATTAGTTGATACCCATTTGATACAATTTGTTAAATCTGCAGTATATAATTAGTTGGGCTTTAAATTGATATTATTACATGTTACTATGCTATGTAGCATTTTAATCTTTGGAGATTTTATTTATGATTTAGGTATCCAACCGTGTTGGAACTGTATTATTTGCTATGGCTTCTGAATTTATTCTGAGTTTGAAACTAGCAAGTTCTAGAGCGCCATGATGTCACTCCTGTTTTTTTCCTGGAAGTGGCATCATGCTGTTGGCATGACAGTGGAATTCTGTTTATTTTTCTCCCACTGTCATGCCGAACAAGAGCTGGGGATGGCAGTCCTGGTGCTGATAAAGGGCTACACTTTTTCAGTCCAGGCAAAGGCTTCCAAGAGCCCTTCCTATGTAGTAGGAAAAACAACCTTAAGGAATGCACTAATCAATAGCAGGGATTGAAGTTTTGCCTTCATTTTATTTTTCTCCTCTGTTGGAAGCCATATGCCAACCCTCCCAACCAAAACCCCCCAGTGCTATTAATGTGTTCTGCAATGCAGACCCTTCCTTCATTACTTTCTAGTTTCCATCAAGAGATGGAGCTGATTTTTTATAATTTTTCTTCTAATTTTAACTTTGTGCTGAAGAGAAAGTATCAGTAATTTTTTAAAAAAATGTTTTCTATTTTCTAGTTGCCTAGAATGAGATTTTTGGGAGCCAGTTTTTAGGGAATGGGGGAAGGAAGATAAAGAGTTCTCCTTCTTCCACAATGGACAAAAACAAAGCCCCTGATTAAGGCCAATCATCTGAGGCAGGAGACAAGAAAGAGGAGGAATGCTGTACTGGCTGGGGTCATATTTTGGGAGGTTTTAAAATCAGTGCCATCATGCTTCAATGATAAAACTGAGGCCCTGGTCACACAGGCCGGATATCGCGGGGGGAGGCGTGGCTAATTGCCCCAAAGGCAATGGTTGGAAACATTATGCTTGAGCATTTGGAATCGGAATAACTTGTTCTGGGCAGGTAACAAGTTCAGGAAACAACTAATTAAGTGACCAGTACCTGGAAAAAGAAGCTGCTGCTTAGGAAAGGATGAAATAGGGCAATAGAAGCTCTAAGACTCATTAAATGAAATTAAACATTTCTGAGTAAACCTGGCTGCATCCACACATTACTGGATACTCCTGTAGTATGTGCAGATAAGACTGCATAGTGTAGCTGCAAGTTGTTCTTGACACAACCAACTTGCACTAGAACATGAGGGGAAAAAGTGACAAAAAAGTGACATAATGATGCCTCTGCAGGGGGAAGGGAGGAAAAAACTGGGTCCCCATCCATAATTATGTCAGAAAAAATACCCAGTAGGTGCCTGTGGCACTCGAAAGACTAGTGTGTGTGTGTGTGGGGGGGGGGACATCACATCTCAGTACTCTTGGTGCTTAGCAAATGTTAAAGCAGAATTTTGAAGAAAAATATAAAGATTATGCAAATCAAATGAGCATGACCAGTCAGTAAACAGATTGTTTTATGGTGGATCTCTGCACGGGCAGCTAATTTCTTAGGCTGCCTGCTGGATTTAAAGTATAATCTTATTTGTAAAAGGATATCAATATTATTAAAAACAGGGAGGGAGGAAGAGCTTAAAACTCTTTTCCTTTTTCCTATTCATAGATTAACACCGACTTGCATTCTGTGACTGGGGGAAATGGTTGCAACATACATGCTCCATCCTGAAATCAAATACAGCAAATGTGCATTGAATGCTTTAGAATCTTTCTTTATCCTAGCACAAAAGGAA